AGGAGGAAGTCTGGTAAAGACCAACCGTTCTTTATGGGCCCAGTTGTCGAAGCGGAGGGTGCCAGCCGGAAAGTCCCTTTCTCTGAACTTGTACAGGGTAGGCACAGCACGTTCACACCCATCACGGCATCGAGTCTTGCGCGGCAGGAAAATGCCGACGTCATTTCCAACTACATCACGCTTCATCATCTTCTCCACGGTGCGATATCGATCCGTGTAGGCTGGCACTTCTCCATATTTGCACAGCTCGCCCGGGCGGTCCGGATGTGGAAATTTATGGATAACAAACATCCAGCGCACTTGCGAAGCCATTTCGGGTCACGTACTATAGTCTCCAGCTCGGTCAGGCTCATACAGGATTATAGATTTGATGATGCACTACCACTAGCCGTGCATATTAATATCGATGAATCTCAAATATCGAAAATGTACTTTCTCGTATTTGGCTCTTTTTATGTTTTCTTTAACAACGACTGATGTGACTTCAAATTAAAATGATTCGCTTCACGCATTGAGGGTCTGATCCAAGCAGAATGTAGCAGCCACACCGAAGCAGCACACACAACAGTCTGCAGCTGATAACTCCTGGATCTCTAGAAAATGTATCTTCAATCACACAGAACTCGATATCTATTGCATATATCTAAATCAAACACATAATCAAAAACAACACACATACTGCTTTGCTCAATCTACACTCTCAGCCTCCGGTATCGCTCCCTCCAGCTCCTCGTCTGAGTCGACCAATATGAGCTCATTCCGTGTCTCCTTTCAAGGGGATAAATGCAATGAATCTACATTGTCACTCTGCATCTCGGATCAAAGGCAACACTGTTGATCGAATTCGAATGTAGCGGACCTCCCCAACCGGCAAGCTTGCCGCAGGTCTCTCAAGTTCATCATCACTTGCATCGGCCTGCTTACAGCAAATGCCCGATCTAGCTAGTTCTGACACCACACATGCTGAATATTCTTCTGTACTTCTTCATATAAATTCTGCCTCCCCATCAGCCGCGCCGGAAAACACGGGCTCCTGGCATCGAACCACAGGAGTTGCAATTAGCCAAAACTATATTTCAGGGTTTAGGGTTTGGGCTTTAGGGTTTAGGGTTAAGTGCTCCTGCTCATCCTCGAGCTCACCTTCACCGTCGGACCCACTAAGGATCTCTAGCTCAGCATCCTGCAGCAAGCACGGAAAGTAAGCGCGAAGCCATCAAAGAGAGTCCCTGTCTGGCCTCATTGTCCGAAATTGAGATCAGCACATCATCTGTTGACATCGTGCCCTGGCAGAAAGACTAGTGCTGGAAAAGCAGCTGCCACATCACATGCACCCAAGACATCGACACAAAGAAGGCTCGCCTCTGAACCCGAGGCAACACTGTTGAGGCTCGAGTTGCTTGACTTCTTCTCCGGGATCGCCAGACCATTGATACGATAATATAGCGTCTTCAGTATCAATGTCTTCTGGCCCCTGCACAAACGCTTCCCAGATTCCCCCCCCCCCCCCCTCTCCCTTCATGATCAGGAAACAGAAATAATGCACACACGGCCCAGCCTTGCCCTGGGTGTTCTGTGAATGATGTAACACAAGTGGCTTGCGAAGTACTTTAGACGCGTTCCTTGTAATTCCGCCCAGACCTGCGAATGCATTCTACGACTGTGCGAGTCATACAATGATCTGAAAATGCATGTAGTCTGTGGTCGGCCCGGCTTTCAGCTTGCCCTTGGCGCCCTTGACTTTGAGTGACCCATGCAGGCCATATACTATGCCAACATACAGCAGCGCTGCCTCGATCAGGGCAGCTATCTCTGGCAACCTAAAATATTGCAACATCGAGCAAGACAGACCGATCATATCAATCATGATTGTGAAATTGGTACTGAGAATCGGACACGATGCTGTTTCGATGATACGAGATCCCCCTTTGCAACTGGCAGGGTGATGCCCTTCAACATCTCTATCGTGTAGTACTTGAGTACTTCGTAGTTGGCATCAGTTTCCAAGTCATCTTGGCACACCTTGGTGCCAAGCATCGTCAGGATGGGGAAGTCCTGCGAACAGGGTGGAATTTAAACACATTTACAGATCCATACAATGGTACCGGTTTCCGGAAAATAATAAGCTGGCCAAGACCTTGGAATTCTTCACCTCGGCCAGCCGGGCTTCGACAGGATAGCGCAGTGCTCTGACGATGCGTAGGCCGTCGTCCTTTGTTAGACATTGCAGATAGTACAGTGCTGCAAATAGTCGCAGCCCACACACACACACACACACACGCACACACGCACACACGCACACACGCACACACAGTACACAAACTTAAAGGCCACATCGAGTGCATTCTTGCACCAGTCGGAACGTAGATCTGCAGCAAGACACTGAGATGAAGAATCGCAACGGAGAGGTAATAATCTTGCCAGTGAGAATTGCACCACTGCTCGGGCACTTCCTCTGCCCGTCGATCTGCTTCAGCACCACTCCCGGGGCGGCCATGGTCAACAATGTTTATTAATAAAATGAGGATTTTGTTCGTAAAACGAAGCTTGTTCACTCTAGTTCACAAGCCTTGTCTGCGTGAGGGATCGGCGGCGAATATGCCACAGTACATGTACACACATATGCCACACACATGCTTTACACACATCTCGGTCGTGGTAGTCCTTGAAAACAGCATTCATCCAGGAAAGGGCTCAAACACATGCGCATGTTCAAGCACATGTTGCATTCACGCACGATCGCTGCAGATCTAGCACCGTCGTGCCTCGCTCGCGCTTGCGGCCGGCTTCCAGGAGAAGAATTCGGCCCGGCATGCTGGGCCGGGTATCGCAAAAAAAAAAGCAGACAGTCGGGAAACAGTCGGGAAACGTCCTGATTTGCCGAGGGCATCCGCTAGTTTAGGGTACACTTGATAACAGCCTGGAAGTATATCTTTCAACCTACAGGCTTGCACCCTTTAAAATTTTGGAGCCTGAACTTGCCATTTTATGACCACAGAATTTGAAGTGCTATAGCACCTATCACAGCTGTCCCTGCCCAGAAAATCCCAGAAATTAAACGCAGACCGACACTGCCTGAAGTGGCTGGGCAAGCATCGAAGATTCATGACTCATCCATGTGATGTGGTTGGCTACTGATCAGTCAGCAAGAATCAATTCAAAGCAAGCATCCATGTGCTCAGCACAGACACAGTCACACACATGCTGAAACCATTCTCTCACTCTTCGTTCCTCTCGGGCTCTGTCGTCTTTCTCTCGCCGTCTTTCTCTCTTGCGAGCAAACACGCACACACAGAGACACTACACACATACACACAGCAAGAACCATCCTGCAATCATTTATGGTCCGCCCTGCCCCCCCCCCCCTCCCCCCCTGCCCCCTGCCCCCCCCCCCCTGCCCCCCCCCCCCCCCTGCCCCCCCCCCCCCCCATGCCCCCCCCTCCCCTCCCCCACCCCGCCCCCCCCACAAATTTAAACAGACAGTAAACACAGACACACACAGTGTACAGAGACCTATAAAGATCAGAGACACACGCACACACACACACACACAGAGACAGTGTACAGAGACCTATAGAGATACACACACACACACACAAGAGCACACACAGACAGACACACACGCACACACAAAGCACACAAAGACACACACACACACAAAGCACACAAAGACACTCGCGCACACACACACACACACGCACACACACACACACACACACAAAGCACACAAAGACACTCGCGCACACACACACACATAAAGCGCACAAAGACACACACACACACACATGTACACACACACACACGCACTCACGCACGCACACACATGTACACAAACACACACGCACACACGCACACACACACACACACACACACACACACACACACACACACACACACACACACACACACACACACACACACCCGCGCGCGCACACACACACACACCCACCACACCCACACCCACACCCACACCCACACACACACACCCACGCACCCACACACACCACACACCCACACACAGACACAGACACAGACACAGACACAGACACTATAACACTAGACACACACACACACAGACACACACACACACACACACACACACACACAGTACACACATATACACACACACACACACACACACACTCCCACACACGCGCGCACCCACGCACGCACCCACACACGCACGTACATGCATGTGCACACACACATGTCACACAATATATATATATATGTATATATATATATATAACCCTCAAGCTCCATGGACCCTGGGACCCCCCTTCCCCCGACCCACCCCCCAGCGTGCTTGCTTGCATAGGTGGAACAGGGCCCATTCGTGGCATTTCGGGTCTTGCATGGTGCTTCTTTCACCTTGGCGTGTGATATTAGGGTAAAACAGCGAGTGGGCCTCTGGAACAATGTCGAGCTTGGGCACAAACAGGGCCAAGTGTTGCCCATAACCACACACGGACCCTTTGGGGATAGGGTTTAGGGTTAGGGCTTGGGGCGGATTTGTGGCTCCGTTTTCGATGTCAGCAACCGACCCCTAAACCCAGAAACGCTCATGCAAACCGGAAACCCCACAGCCCTAAACCTCAAACCCTTCTTGGTACACTTTCTCAATCAACCTCCAGCCCTAAAAACCCTAAAGCCTCCCAACCCTTAGCAGCCCTTGACCCTTAACAACGCACCTTGCAAACCCCAAATACCCTAAATCCCTGAAGCCTAAGCTCTAAACTCCCCCCTCCCGCCACCCACCAGGCCATAGGAAGACTACACCCGGCCTATCTAGATATAAGTCCCAAGCCGAAAGCTCCCAAGGTCTTGGAACCCGAAACCCTAAACCCGAAACCCGAAACCCTACACCCTAAACCCTAAACCCTAAACCCTAAACCCTAAACCCTAAACCCTAAACCCTAAACCCTAAACCCTAAACCCTAAACCCTAAACCCTAAACCCTAAACCCTAACCCTAAACCCTAAACCCTAAACCCACCAAGATCCATGACCTTCACCTTCTTCTTGAACGTGCTGAACGCCTTGCAGCGCCTCATGAAGTACGTGGTGGTGCCGAGGGAGGCGCGCAGGTCTTGGAAGTGTAGGGTGCCCACCCTAAACCCTAAACCCTAAACCCTAAACCCGAGAGACGAAACAGAGTTGGGGAGTGTAACCGGTTGCGTTGCTTCCAGCTTGTATCGGCAATTCACCCTACGCTTCCCCGAAGGGTCCATGTACCGATGCACTTATATATATGGTATGTTTAGGGTTTAGGGTTTAGGCAAAAGGGTTTAGGGTATACTGAGCCCTAAACTACCCTAAACCCTAAACCCTAAACCCTAAACCCTAAACGCCCTAAACCCTAAACCCTGAACCTACTATATAAAAAAGACCATCCTCATGATCATTTAAGGTTATATTGCTGACCTGGACTCTAAACAAGGGGTCTCCTTAGCCAGGCGGCCTACGACATGCCCACGGACTACAGCGTGCGCAAGCAGGTCAGGGTCGATCGTGCCGAAATCGTTCGTCTCCAGATGAAGCAGGCGCTTGTGGGGAAGTAGGAGGGTAAGAGTTTTTTGCTTTTTTTTTTTTGGGGGGGGGGGGGGGGGGGGGGGGTAGTAGCGGGGTTTCCCGGCCTTGGGGCTGCGCGGTTGAGGGTTGCGTACTGGCAGCATGCAGCAGAAGCAACCTGACACTGTCTGCTTGCAGTTCTCTGTTGTTGATATCCTTGCAACGTAGCGAGCTAGACGTGACTGGAGTTTGAGTGGCATGGCCAGAATGCTCTGCTGTGGCCGGCTTCGACCTGTGGCTTAAGCCTGCCCCCGCCCCCCACTTCGGGAAATTGAAGCTTGCGGCGGAGAGTCGCCAAGAGGGCCATGGTGCGCTCCCTGATCGGACTCATCCTTGCGTGCTACGCCACGGGCACCACCGCCTACTCACTGTCCTTCGACGCCTCGGACGGGGAGAAACCTGTTGGGAAAGTGGTGGCTTCTTGGCATCAGGGTTTAGGGCGCCGGGCCTGAGACATAAGTCACGGCCGTCATTACCCCACAAAAGCTGGCCATCCCTTTATCAATGAGGAATCGAAACAGACTTACTTCTTCGTAAGAACCACACACATACATACATATATGTACTTATATGCAGATGGGTACTTTCGGGGTGCGGGGAGGCGACTGAGCTCGCGCACGGGCACATGTGTTCAAGCACATGAGGTTTTCCATGGCCACCACTCGTTCAAGGCTCCTTGTTGACTCGCTCGGAGGGATGGGTAATTCTACCCTAATGTTAAACTGTAAAAAGGCCCCTTGCAGGGTTTGATTTGTGGGGATGCTAAAGCCTATTTGAATAGCCCATCCCGGCAAGCGTCCAACCATGGCTATGGGCATCATCGACTAAAGTGGCCCTCCTCAGCATCCGCTTTTCAGGACCCGGCGGGTGGATTTGAAGGGCTTCACGTATAAGAGAGAGTCCTCTAGCAAGAAGGGTTGGCCAAGCCTGCCAGATGCCCTTCTCTTCCGGGGGTGCACTGTCCGATACTGTCCGCGAAGCTCCACTTAGAGCGGGAGGCAGCAGCCCTGAACCCGAAACCGAAGCCGAAAATTTCCTAAACCCTAAACCCACGATATCTTGGAGCGGCACGTCTCTTTACCACCCCTAAACCCTAAACCCTAAACCCTAAACCCCAAGCTCTCACTTGCATTGGGCTTGCTGGGCTCTGGGCTTGGGGGCGGCTCAGGGCTTTGTCAAACTACCCTCAATCCCTCGACCCTAAACCCGACAAACCTTAAACCCTGTCTAGGGTTTAGGGTTTAGGGTTTAGGGTTTCGGGTTTAGGGTTTAGGGTTTAGGGTTTAGGGTCATTGCCCTGAAAACCCTGTCAAGAGGGTCAAGTGACCCACTGAGGCTCTGCTGGAGACCATGTCGAAGAAACTCGAGGAGGACCAAAAGGCGGATGAGGATATGAAGGAGCTTAGGGTTTAGGGTTTAGGGTTTAGGGTTTAGGGTTTAGGGTTTGGGGTGCAGGGTTTCGGGCTTATGGGGTTATGGGATCCTATGCTGCCCCCTCCCAGCCCTTCCCCCGCCTTGAAGTCACATGCAGGTTGCTTAGGGTCTAGGGCTTAGGGCATATGCAGTTGGGTAGCCTATTCATGATGCCCCGACCAGCTAAACTCTAAGCACCCAAGCGCAGGGCCTGTAGTGCTGGGCCATCGAAAGTAAGCCCTCATGAGGTGAAGACAGCACCCGCAGCCCTTTAATACAACGCTAGACCGTAGCCCCCCCAACACTACTGGGGAGGGTTTAGGGTTTAGGGCTTAGGGCTTAGGGAAGCAAAGCCAAAACCCTTAAACATTAAATCACCCTTTCCCCCCAAGGGGAGAGAGAAAACACCTAAACCCATCGACAGCCATTGCCAGTTGCTTTAAAAACAGGCCCCAGGAGGAGAAGAAAAGCCTAAACCCTCCTTAAACGTTCGAGGCCCATGAGCTCTAAAACCCAGACCCCAACCCCTCACACTAAAACCTTATGGTCACTTCTCTACATTAGAGTCCTACGATTATGAGGCGGCCCCTAATATTGAGGGTACCCAACAAAGGGACTATAACTTTGCGAAGTGACCATATGTTCATCAGCAAAGAACCCCCAAACTTCAAGAGGCGAAGAGCTAAAAACCTAAACCCTAAGCCCTAATGTAAGGTTGCTGGGCTGCCCCTAAACCCTAAACCCTAAACCCCAAAATGCCAACCTCAAGAGGAGAAGATGGACTGCTGGTGCAAGACCAACCAGGACGACAAAGCCGCCTCCGCCTCGGCGGCCCAGGACGGGGTCGGGTTAAGGGCTGGTTTAGGGTGTAGTGTTTTGAGTAAAGGGTTTTGGGGTTCAGGGTTTAGGGTTTAGGGTTTCGGGCCCCAAGGCCGGTGTGACAGGGCTTGGGTCCTCTGCTTGTTGGTGATTCGCACTTGGACTGGAGAGTTTGTATATAATGAATAGAGAGAGAGGGATCTACACTAATGCCGGGGTCTATTTTGGTGCAGTTTTATAGTTTGATGGTGGGTAATTGCGTTTGCTAGTGTATGCTTCTTGGTTGATGGGCCGCGAGGGGAACATATGGGCTCCCCCCTTAAACTTCTGAAATCCCAAACCGTGGTTTTGGGTTTTGGGCTAGGCCTTGCAACCCCAAACCCCGAAACCCTAAACCCGAAACCCTGTCCGGGTGTGAGCGATTAAACCCCAAACCCTAAACCCTCAGATCCTTCGTCCCTGTGCCCTCCAGAGACAGCTGACACAAGGACAAGTTGTCGGGACTCAAGGCTCTGGTGGAGGACCATGCCTGGGAAGGGCCCCGGGGTTTAGGGTTTGGGGTTTGGGGTTTCGGGTTTAGGGTTTAGAGTTGGGGGTTTAGAGCTACGGGGGTGCCCTCAGAACAAGCCGCACAAGGCAACAGAACACCATCAATTTTGACGACAGGCAGAATATTCAGATGGGAACCCAAGCCTGTACTATTTGTAAGGTGGATGACAGAAACCCCGTTTATAGACTGTCGCTGCTTTCCGCGCTGTACCTTTTCCCTTTATAAGGCAACTACACAAAATTCGGTTCTCCGTGCCTGAGGTAGGGGTTTGGATGCTTCTGGTTTAAACCCTAAACCTACACCCTAGACCCTAAACCCTGGGTCTGGGAGCTTGCTGCGCCATCTGGCCGGTGGACAGGCGCGGAGTACAGAACCCCAAGCCCCGAACAAGAAACGCCATGTGATCAGTTCTCAACATTATGGTCCCTTTTCGGCCACCCTAAATGTCAGGGGCCGCCTTATAGTAGCAACCCCACAAGGGCCCATATTTTAGAGAACTGACCATCTAATGTCGCATGATTTTCGAGACATCCCCAAACCATAAACGCTGGCTTGTCCGAGTGTGAGCGATTAAACCTAAACCCTAATCTTTCGGTTGAGGGCATGTGCCCTGCAATGCGTCGCGGCTGTCCTCTAAGACAAACCCTCGACCTGCAAGCTAGGCGGTTGGCTAAGTAAAGCCTAAACTCCATACAACCCCTAAACCCTAAACCCTAAACCCTCTAGGCCCTAAACCGTGAGTCTGAGAAAAGGTAGGGTTCAGGGTTTGGGGGTTTAGGACTTGGAATTTAGTGTTTAGGGTTTAGGGGTTTAGGGTCGAGGGTTCCTGAAACCCTAAACCCCAAACCCTAAACCGTAAGCCCTAGACCCTCTTCGAAAAACGGTCTAGGCTTCCATATTGCCAGCTTGCTTTTGTTTGTCTACTTGCGGCCCCAGAAGAGGGCAGGGGCGATACTGTGTTTTCACAGGGACTACAGGGCTGACCGATCCGACCCCCAAAAGAGTTTAGAGCTAGGGTTTAGGGTTTAGGGCTAGGGCTTAAGAAGGTTGAGGGTTTAGGGTGTAGGGGCTAGGGTCTAAGGTTTAGGGGTTAGGGTCGAGTGTTTATAGGATTTAGGGTTTATAGGGTTCAAGGTTCAGGGTTCAGGTGTAAAAAACTCAGGGTTTCGGGTGCGCCCGCAAACCGCAAGGCTGCCCTTGAGCGGAAGTCTTTCAAAAAGTAGAAGCATGCCGGTGGTGTGCACTTGGGGTTTTAGGGCTGCAGTTGACTGGCCTCAGGGTTTAGGGTTTAGGGTTTAGGGTCTAGGGTTTAGGGTTTAGGGTTTGGGGTTTGGGGTTTGGGGTTTAGGGCTTGGGGGGGGAAGGGGAGCTTTTGCTAAATCCGAACAGCTCCTAAGTGCCAAGAGGAGCTTCCTCCCAAGATCGACCTGCTCTCCACGCAGATCCGCACCTCCACGCAGGACTTGAACAAGAACAAGGCGCGGCCTCTAGAGGGTTTAGGGTTTAGGGTTTAGGGTTTAGGGTTTAGGGTGTAGGGTTCAGGACTTGAACAAGAACAAGGCACTCCCGTCACCTTGAAAGCCACCCACCTCCTTGACGTTGTACCCCAAACCCTAAACCCTGAACAGCCTGCTGCTGCAGAGAGTGCTTGCAGAGACCTAAACCCTAAACCATGGCACCTAAAACCTAAACCCTGATGTGTGTCTGCAGTGAGGGTGGCAAGCGAACCTAAAGCCTAGGAGCCCGTAGACTCCCAAACCCCTCAATTAAGGAATGTCCCTTAAATTATCCCTTAAATGAGAATGGGAGCCCTATTATGATTTAAGGTATATTCCTTAATTAAGGGGTTGTGGAGTTTCTGGGAAACCCTAAAGCCTAAGAGCCCTAAAGCCTAAGAGCCCTAAAGCTCTTCCGACAGGCAACAGTGGAGAAGGCTAACGCCATTCGCTAGCAACAGATCACCGCCTTCCAGGAGGACAACGCCTCCCTGATCCTGAGCTAAACCAAAAACAGGAGCAAAAAACAGGAGAGGGGTGCGGGGGGAGGGGGGGAGGGGGGGTGAACCCTAAACCATGCCAGTTTGGCTCAACTTTGCGTCGTCGCCTGTTTGCGATCGACAAAGGCGGATTCAATGGTCATTCTGCTGTCGCAACCCTTTGAGTCGTACGACGTACACGCCATTTGTTTTTATGAAAGTTTACCAGCTGC